AAAAGGGTACAGTCAATGAATACCTAAAAAAATTTGAAGAACTCAAGGCTTGGGTGTTAATTAGGAGACCTACTATCCCAGAAGAATTTTTCTTAGAATTCTTTGTGGAAGGGATCAAGGAAGAAATAAGGAACATTGTGAAAATGCTCAACCCTTATACATTGAGCCAAGCTGTGGAAAAGGCTAGATTTCAGGAGAAGGTTGTTGAAGCCCAAATGAGGAAGAGCAAGGTCACCTGGAACAAGGGCCAGTGCAGAATACTAATGCTATAGTAAACAGATCTCAGGGAAATTGGTCTAGAGAAGGGCATGAGAACACATCCAATGCAGGAATGAAAAGAAACCACAATTTGTGCTACAAGTGTGGAGATAAATGGCCTCCTGGCCATCAATGCAAGAATAAGCAGCTCAATGCAATGACAGCTGAGGAAGAAATAAGGGAGACAAACCACACAAATGACCTACCTCAGGAACTGGAGTTCATTGAAGACTCACATGAGTTAGAAATGGTGGAGGAAGCTATTAGCCTCAATGCCTTGTCTGGAACAGAGGTTCCAAACACAATCACTTTGAATGGTACATCCAAGAAAAAGTTATTAACTATACTTTTAGATTCAGGAAGCACCCACAGCTTCTTGGATATGGAAACTGCTAGACAGATTGGATGCATACATAAGGAAGCTAGACCTATGAGAGTTACTGTGGCCAATGAAAACCAGTTGATGCGTCTTTATCTTGTCCTATGTTCAAGTGGAAGATACAAGGGATAGAATTTGAGGACTTAGTGAGACTAATTCAGTTGGGGGGTTGTGATTTGATACTAGGGGGAGATTGGATAAAGGCTCATAACCCAGTTCTATTGGACTTTGTAGCATATAGAGCTATAGTGTCACATAAGGGAAAAGGAGGGGAGCTCAAGGGCATGTACAATCAAGCTATGCTGCAGAGTATGTCTAGTGGCAGCATAAGATAGTTGTTCAAAAAAGGGAAGGTATTTTGGGGACACTTATTTACAGTAACAACAACAGAGATGGGAAAACAAGAAGAGTTACCTTCAGAGCTCTCAGGGGTATACAACAATATAGTGATGTGTTTGCAGAGCCAACTTCCTTGCCTCCTAAAAGACAGTATGACCATTTCATACCCCTGAAACCAGCATAAACTCCAGTCAGTATCAGGCCTTGCAGGTACAATTACTTCCAGAAAAATGAGATAGAAAAAAAAGTTAAAGACATGTTATCTAATGATATCATACAACCTAGTCACTCCCCATTCTCATCACCTATACTTTTGGTTAAAAAGAAAGATGGTAGTTGGAGGTTTTGCATTGATTATAGAGAACTTAATAAAATGACTGTTAAGGATAAGTTCCCAATTCCATTAGTAAATGATTTACTAGATGAATTAAGTGGCTCCTATGTGTTTTCTAAGATAGATTTGAGAGCAGGGTATGATTATATTAGGATGAATGAGGAAGATATCCACAAAACAGCCTTCAGAACACACTTGGGTCACTATGAGTTTAAAGTAATGCCATTTGGGTTAACTAATGCTCCTGCTACCTTTCAAAGCCTTATGAACCATGTGTTCCAGGATTACTTGAGGCAGTTTGTCTTAGTTTTCTTTGATGACATTTTAGTATACAGTCCTACTATTCAGGAGCACAAGGAACATTTAACAAAGGTGAATTGGCCTGTACCTAAGTCAATTAAAGCACTAAGGGGATTTTTGGGTCTAACAGGGTACTATAGGAGGTTTGTGCAATCATATGGGGTAATCAGTAAGCCCTTGACTAACCTACTTAAAAAGAACTCCTTCTAGTGGGGGCAGGAAGCAGAAACAACTTTTAACAACCTTAAACAAACAATGACCACTGCACCTGTTTTAGCATTGGCAGACTTCACTAAGACATTTGTGGTTGAAACTGATCCATGTTCAAGGGGGAATGGGAGCTGTATTAATGCAGGAAGGAAAACCATTAGCATTTTTTAGCAAGGCCTTAGCCCCTAGACATTGGGGATTGTCTGCTTATGAGAAAGAGTATATGGTAGTCCTAGCAACAGTAGACAGATGGAGACATTACTTACAAGGGGGACACTTTATTATGAGGACTGATCATCACAGCTTAAAATACCTATTAGAGCGGAAAATAACAACTTCTCTCCAACAGAAGGGTTTAACTAAATTGCTAGGGTTGAATTATGAAGTACAATACAAAAAGGGGACAAAGAACATAGTAGCTGATGCATTATCTAGGAGAGAGGTAGAAGACTCCAGACTATCTGCCTTCACTACTATTGAACCTACTTGGATGCAGGAAATTGTCCAAAGCTACCAGGATGATCCTACAGTGGCACAATTGACTATTGAGCTAACAACAGTCCCTGGCAGCAAACACCACTATACCTTACAATAGGAAATTATAAGGTATAAGCAGAGGATATATGTAGGAAGAGGAGCTCACCTCAGAAACAAGATTTTTAAGGTATTACATCAGTCACCCTTGGGTGGCCATGCAGGACAGATGGGTACTTATAGAAGAATTAATGAGTGTTCTATTGGCCCAACATGAAGGCTGAGATAATAAAGAAGATTTCAGAATGTGATGTTTGTCAGAGAATGAAATAGAAAATGTGCTCTCTCCAGGTCTACTACAACCCTTGCCTATCCCAGAAATGTCATGGCAGGACATAGCCATGGAATTCATTGAAGGACTTCCTAAGTCTGATAGTATGGAGGTTATATTGGTGGTAGTGAATAAACTAACTAAGTATGGCCATTTTGTAGCCCTTAAACATCCTTATACAACACAAGATGTAGCTGAGATCTTCGTAAGGGATATATAAAAGCTACATGGATTACCCAGAACTATTGTAACAGACAGGGATACTATTTTTACTAGTCAATTTTGGCAACAGTTCTTCAAAACTATGGGAACTAAGCTGAATATGACTACCTCCTATCATCCCCAATCTGATGGTCAAACGGAAAGGCTCAACAGATGTTTTGGAATCCTATTTGAGATCTATGGTGTTCACTAATCCTAAACAGTGGGTGAAGTGGCTACCATTAGCTGAGTGGTGGTCTAACACCAATTACCACAACTCGCTAAAGTCCACCCCTTTTCAAGCCCTGTATGGCTTTCTACCTATACAGGTTCCCTTGGGATCCCTACCATACTCTACAAATACAGAAGCAGGACCGCTTATAGCTCAGAGACAACAAATGCTACAGAACTTGAAGGAGAATTTGAATCAAGCACAGGCTCGTATGAAACTTTATGCAGACAAACACAGGTTAGACAGAAATTTGGAGGTGGGAGATTTAGTCTATCTAAAACTCCAGCCATACATGCAAACCTCAGTAGCAGTGAGAAGAAACTTGAAACTAAGTGCTAAGTATTACGGACCGTACAAAATTACTGAGAAGATAGGAGCAGTGACTTACCGACTTGAGTTTCCACCTGGATCTCAAATCCACCCAGTCTTTCATGTGTCACAGCTCAAGAAACATGTTGGCCCATCGATCTCTCCACAATGACAGCCTCCGATTTGTGACGAAGAAGGCCAGGTGCTGGTTCAACCATTATCAATCTTGCAGATACGAATGGTTAAGGTTAATAATGCAGTGGGGGTTAAAGTGTTGGTGAAATGGACAAATTTAGGGGAAGAAGAGGCGACATGGGAAGACTGGGGCTATATTAAGGGCCGATTTCCTGATTTTGTGGCTTCACCCAGACCCTGAGGATAAGGTCTTTTTTCATCGACGGGGTATTGTAATGAACCTAAGGTTGTCGGCTGAAGATGAGTTAGGAAATGAAGTGAATAAAGAGCAGGGTTAAAGATGAAAGAATAAAGGGGGTGACGTGGCAGTATCGAGAGCGTCCAAGAGCACTTATGATATGTGGCTTAGATTACATTTTCTACTAAGATCCAAGGGTGGAGATTTAATGGGGAATGTTCTAGAAACCCCTGTTAGTAACAGATTCTTAACAGAATCAAGCAAGCAAATACTGGTATTCAACTAACTATCTCTCTCTTCATCTTCCTTTTCTCTCTCGACTCTCTCTCTCTTCTAACTCAATTCTCTTCTTCTTCTACAAGACTCCATTGAAGACCTTGAAATAATTTGTAGTTATGGTTTCATAATATTATAATACATTGATTGAACTAATAAAAATTCCCCAAACTTCCGCTATTCATTTCTGTTTACAATTCCTTCAATATTGAGGTTTTATTACATGGAACCAACAAACTAGTCATTCCTTTAGAATTTCAGTGAATGGATTTGGCTTTGGCTGGTATTTTATGCCGACCTACTCAGCCATGTGCACATAGCGAATTAGAAGGGATTGAGTTGAGCAGTGGGTCCCATTAAACCATTCATTTGAATACATCATCATAACTACTCCAACCATTCTCCAGCGTGGGATCAAAACAGTCTCATCTATTAGCCGTTGATCATAAAACAATATGGGTACACAATTATGAAAAAGCTCAATCACCGGAACATGTCCAAGAAAAAGGTCCCCACAAGCGGTTATTATCAAGTCAATTATGAACACCTGTACACGCTTTTTATCACTTTACCGGCTGCTTTTTTGTCTTGTGCCTATAGCCGGTATATACACCGGCATATGAAAACCGGGTCCAATTGTAAACCGGTGCTTGTCATGAAATGCGGTATGGTATTCAACATTATAATGTGACGGGTCTAACTGGAGTAAAAGATTCACTGACCTGATCTTTCGTTGTTATACTTTTTATTTAATATCAGCCTAAATTTTTTTGGGTTGTAATTGTATAAAATTTAATAATCGACTCGGTTTATTGTGCATCGACCGGTTTATGGGAATAATTGACCGGAGGTGCCCGGTTGGCTATAAAAGAATATCTGGAATATTTTAATTGGAATAATATCAGTCTTCTCGAAGGTCAATCAGTGGGCTGCCTCGGTCTTATCCTAGCCTTACGTTTGGTCCCAAACCTGCTAGGCTCGGTACTTCTGCCTATAAATATAAAGACGTCAGGTCCTCCGCTGAAGATAAGAATTCATACGTGTACGAAATCCTTTCTGTAGCTGAACGAACACGTCTATTTGAAGGTACTGTAAAATCGCCATTGAATCTTGTAATGTAATTTCTAGCGTTCAATTTTCGACTTTTCCTGCTTTTGATCTGTCGATCTGTTGAATCGTTTATCTGTAAATTTTGGTACTTTTTCTGTAAAAATGATTTATTGGATTGATTTAGTACGTTCTTTTTGCTTTTGTTTTGAATGTTTATATATGCCGATAGATGAATATATCTAATATTATGAACAATTGTGATGTGTTCTGCTTATTTAGTTGTTTTTGATGGATTTTATTTAGTCAATTCGAGTCAATAGCTTGTTCATTTTGGTAAACGTCGTCCGTATTTGATGCCTAAATGATGTGAAGGGATATTCTTACCAAAAAAACAAGGGACTTTTAGGGAATTTAGTATAAAAGACCAAAATTATTGTTTGAGTAGATCTAGAAGGATTGTAGATGTTTTCTTTGTAATATGTGTTGAGGAAGAGAAAATGATCATATACGGGATAGTATCAGCAATTTTATGATGTATTAGTTACTACTTATTGTCTATGTGACTTCAATTAAGTTATGGTTTATAACCAATTTTGTGTTAGTTACCTCTGTGGCATTGGGTGCAAACCTATTGCAAAAATGTTCCCCCCCCCACAAATTGATTACAATTACGGTTCCGGCTAACAAAATCTTGCATCAGCCTATGTCTGTGATTACTATTGCTTTGGCTGTGTAGTAACCTGTGGTAAATAGAATCGTTGCTTAGAGATTACACTAGATGTTAATGAAGTTTCTTTGAAATTTATCCGTACGGGAATCCTATGTTGCTCAAGGACATCAGTTTTCCGTTTCTGTCTTGTTAAATTTGATAAATTTGCTCATGAGCTTGATTTATGTATTAGAACCTGATTGTTGAAGGTTAGATGTTATTAGGTCGGGAAGAAATTCTATTTCAGTTCTGTTGATGATTTGAATGTTCGTATTCAGAGTCATACCCTAATTTGTTTTCTTCTTTTGTACTTCAGGTAGCAATTTTGGAAAAAAGCATTATGGCATTAGTTTCTGGAGGAAGATCATCGTTGAATCCAAATGCGCCCCTCTTCGTTCCTTCGTTTGTGCGCCAAGTGGAGGATTTTTCCCCAGAATGGTGGAATTTGGTGACAACTTCAACATGGTTCCATGACTATTGGATGAGCCAGAACCAGGGAGAGGAATATGGTAATGATCAATATGGAGCTGGTAATGATATGGCTGATTTGCTTCCTGAGAATATTGATCTCAATGTGGATGAGGATATCTTGAACATGGAAGCTCAGTTTGAGGAATTTCTCCAATCATCCCAAGGTGGGCAACAAGGAATTAAGTCACCTCTCTACGGTGTCAATGGAGTGCCACAATATGGTATGCACTGTCTCTCTCATTCTTTCAATTTTTTGTCATAGCTTCCAGTTTAGCCAATGGTTATTACTGTTATTCTCATGTGATTATTCTTTCATAACAAAACAACAGGTTTGCCCAATGTTTCTGATACACTGATAAGAACTATGAGTTCACCAAGATCCCCCGTTTCGCCACCAATGTACTATGAGAAGCCAGCCAAGATCGTGAGCCCAACGAACAGCTTCCGCAGCATCCAACAGCCTTGCTGAATGTGATTAGCTTAGCAAAAGCTTTTGGTTTGCATTCAGAAAGTCAGTTCTTAGTTTGCAGCTACTCTTGACAAGCAGTAGTTAAGAAAGTCTCGAGTTTTAGTTTTCATGTAACCTTTTGTATAGAGCAAGGTAGGGCAGCACTCTTGTATCTAGCCTTGTTCATAGTCTGATATCCTTTCTTTAGCTTTACTTGTAAACAACAGAACTATAAAAAGGGGAAAAAAATGTAAAATTCAGTTGACAAAAAGTGGAAAAAAGAGCAGCTTTCTAGTTTCGTTTCTCCTCTTCCCAATGATGGAAGATTATGATCATTTAATTTGCTTCTTCCCTTCCTTTGTTGTTTTCTGCCATGAGAGAAACTAAGACCTAAAAAGTATACTCATTTAGGGGTTCTGTGAAGCATAACTATGCCATTGGCTGAGGACATATCCAAGTTGCCTTCAATCTTGGGTACTTTAGTGATGCATCCTTCACTCTCCTTACAATATCCAGCATATGCCTGAGAGCAAATCTAAGATTTAGAGTTAGCACCTTCAGAATAATATATAAGATCTTCATTCTAACTTAATATAAGCCGAGAGCAATTGCTCAACAAAAGATCTGCTTTAGGACCCGTTTGTTCATAATTTTTTTTTTTCAGAAATTTTTTCAAGAACATGTTTGTTTAATGAAGTTTTGCAAGTTCATGGAAATTTTCCAAAAATGAGTTTTTCAATCAGATTTTTTTTCCACACGCACAAAATATATTTTTTCAAGTGAAATACATGTTCAAATATAATTTTAAATCTTTTTTCAAAACTTCAAATATTACTTTTTTTCAAAACTTATAATTTCTATGTCCAAACGCCTACTTAAATTCGCGAGAAAAAAAAGTTGCAAAGGTTGGGAGTAGGGTCTTTTAAACCTTTTGTTGTACTAATAAATATGGGACAGCTCTAGAATGCAATAGAGAGTTGCAAAGTGGAAAATTCTTTAGTGGGGAACTCCTACATCAAACGGCTAAAATGGGTGGAGATTTATGTCTTATCAATATTTCCATCCAAAAGATGCATTACTTTCAACATCATAAAAGTAGAAAAGGTGAGCTCGACACGAGTGTGTGTTTCATGTAACGGTCAATTACATTCCTTATCCTAACGAAATAAAAAGAATATTCGTATAAAAAACTTTTTCAATCAAACCCTTGTAAGATGATTTTTCTCGATGGTGGATAGCGATGGTTATGTCCCATTTCCGCACATCATTAAGGTGCGCACAGCGGGCAAATTAGTGGGCAAGTGTCCATTGAGAAGTCTATTTCAAAGCTTTAAGATTTTTATAAAGCATGAGCCTAATTATCATATCTAATTTATAGATTGCTAATTACTATTCGTATCTATTGTTTTATTATTACCAGCTTGTATCATTTGTATTCATTCATTTTAAATGGCTGTATCATCGCATACAATACACTAGAATACAATGATACGTGCAGTTAGTGCATGTATCACTGTATGTGACTCCAATTCGCTCTAAATGGTTATATCAACGCAAACAATACACTAAAATACATTGATACATATGTGTCATTGTATGTGACTCTATACTGTATTTACCTTGGAATTTTGCTACAAAATACAAAAAGTAGCTACAAGTATGATAAATGCAGTGTATAAGTTAGTTCCACCATGTAATTTTTGAAAGCTCCCCTAGACCCACTTGTGTGTTGGACCCAGTAAAGTATTAATGGATATTCGCATTTGGGTCTGAATTCATTGTACTAAAGCAGGAAATGAAAGTGATCCCCCACATGTTACCTTGAAGTTGATTTTTCGAATTTGTATCCTAGTAATTAGAAGTAATTTTTAAGAAAATTGCACCTCAATGGAGTGTTAGGAAATTATAAAGGAGGTAATTTTAAAACATATATTGGCCTTTTCCCAATATTTTAATATCGCATGGCGGAACGTGGAGTAGCAGAAGATGGTCAATTCTCATTGAAGTGTAGAAAGCCAGAAGCCTGGAAAACTTCCAATCAAAATTATTCGGCAACTCAGCACCAGTAAGTGCTAAAAATTTAACGATTATTACTTTTTCTCTCCCGAGCAAATTTGATATTATTCTTAAATTATTTGGATCTCTGAAATCTTTGATCTTTCAAGAAATAATGGGTAAACTGGGTTTCAATTGATTTTGTTATATAAGCATGTACAGGTAGAAGAACCTTTATTATTGAATAAGAATTCAATGTGGAATAGCAGAAGGAATCTGTCAGATTGGTTAAAATTTAAGGACCATACAAATGTGTTTGTTAATCAGAATGTAACTGCTAGAGATCATTAGTATCTGGCGAGGCCCCAAACTATTGCAAGATTGCATAAGTTGCCTTTAGAAAGAACAAAAAGAACCGAACCATATTGGGTCTATTCTTTTTAGTGATTACTTTAGAAAAAAAAATCACCAGAAATGTGGTGCCAAGTCAAAGCTATTGAAAGTTAAGTGACAGGTGAATGATGACATGGACATACCGAAAGGAGACAGGCTTGTGCTAAGGGGCTTAAAATTTCATGGATATCATGGACATGGAGTGAAGAAACAAGAAAGAGAGTTAGGTCAGAAGTTCCTGGTTGGATGGATCTTCGAGTTGCTGGTAAATCTGACTGCTTGTCAGATACTCTAAGTTACACAGATATATACGAGTGAGTTATCATTTCGAGTTTGTTCATTTGGAAGAACATAAAGAACTTGACTTCATAGCTTAATAGATGAAATTTTGTCAAACATTTTGAACTTGACTCATGGCTTTCCCTTTACTCTATTTCTTTTACTATGTTGTGACTATGCCGAGGGTCTATCAAAATATCCTCTTTATCTTAACAAGATAGGTATAAGGTCTACATACACACTAACCTTAAATAGTACAAACAGAGTTCTATTTAAGGTTAAATAGACATCTGAATAACAGAGTTCTATTGCTCATGAGGCCAGCTTAAATAGTACAAAAAGATACGAGGATTGAGCAGTTTCACCAAAGCTAAACTGAAAGTGTTGAATACAACAGAACAGAACAGATGAAAACTCAAAATTGGGTTATGACCATCTGTAAAAGGTTTAATCATATAATGATTTCTCATATTAAGAACTCTACTCATTTGAAACATCTTCCGCTGCACACTAAAGCAATTTCTTTCTTATTATGTAATTTCTTGAATGTTCCGTCAATTGGAATTTTAAAGCCATTGCAATAGGCGATCTTGATCCTTTACTTTCTTGAGGCCATTGGATTATCATCATTATCATCATCATATTATTATTATTATTATTATTATTATTATTATTTATCTCAGAAGACTTCATTTTACAACAACAACAACAAAAAACCCAGTGTAATCCCACGAGTAGATTCTAGGGAAGGTAGAGTATCTGCAAACTTTATCCCTATCGTGTGAGAGTAAAGAGACTGTTTTCGATAGACCCTCGTCTCAAGGAAGGATGAAAAAGAAGCAATAGCAATAACAACATAAAGTAAACAACATTATGATAATAGAATAATCGAAGCGAAAGAAACAAGAATGGGAATAAGAATAGCAATATCAATACTACTGGTATGTGAAAGAAATAAGCTCGCTACCTACTATCCATTTGCCCTAATCCTCTACCTCAATACCTCATATCAAGGGTCATGTCCTCGGTAAGCTGAAGCTGCAAATGTCCTGCCTAATCACCTCTCTCCAATACCTCTTTGGTCTACCTTTACCTCTTCTCATACCCTCCAAGGTTAACCTCTCACATCTCCTCACTGGTGCAGTTGTGTCCCTCCCCTTCATGTGCCCGAACCTCCTTAATATCATTTCACACATCTTGTCATCTACGGGGACCACTCCTACCTTGTCCCTAATAACTTCATTCCTGACCTTATCTCTCATGGTATGCCTACATATCTATCTCAGCATTCTCATTAGTCATTTTTGCCACTTTCATCTTCTGGATATGGAATTTCTTGACTGCCCAATACTTTTCCCTATACAATATAGTCGGTCTAACCACTACTCTATAGAATTTATCTTTTAAGTCTTGGTGGTACATTCTTGTCATATAAAATACCAGATGCAAGCCTATATTTCATCGATCCCGCTCCAATACGATGAGTGACACCATCGGCAATCCCAATTATTTTGGATTACTGACCCAAAGTACTTGAAAGTCGCTCTCTTAGGGATGACTTGTTAGTCAAGCTTCACTCCACATCCGCTTAATGAGTCATACTGCTAAACTTGCACTTCAAGTATTCCGTTTTGGTCCTGCTCAACTTGAAACCTTTTGACTCTAGCGTTTGTCTCCAAACCTTTAGTCTCGCGTTAACACCACTTTGCATCTCGTCAATTAGTACTATATCATCAACAAACAACATGCACCATGGCACCTCCCTTCGAATGTGATGATCAAAACGTCCATTACCAAGGCAAATAAAAATGGTCTAAGCACTGATCCTTTATGCAACCCCATAACAAGTGGAAGTTTTCAGAGTCCCCTTCCACCATCCTAACCTAGTCTTAGTTTCATCATACATGTCCTTAATCGCCCTAGCGTATGCTACAAGAACACCACTATCCTTCAAATACCTTCTAAAGACCTCCCTCGGGACTTTGTCGCTTTTTTAAGGTCAATGAACACCATATGCAAGTCTCTCTTATTCTCTTTGTAGCGCTCCACCAATCTTCTTACAAGGTGAACGACTTCCATAGTTGAACGCCTCGACATAAATATAAAATAGTTCTAAAAAATAGACACACTTCTCCTCACCTTCACTTCCACCACACTATCTTAAACATGGTATGACTTAGCAGCTCTATAGTTATAGTTTTGGATATTATCCTTGTTCTTGTACAACGAAATCATCGTACTCCACCTTCACTTTTCGGGCATCTTCTTTATCCTAAGGATGATGTTAAACAACCATGTGAGCCACTCCAAGCCTTCCCTGATCGCGTACTTCCAAAACTCTACTGAAATTTTGTTTGACCCGGTCGCTTTACCCCTGCTCATCCTATGCACAACCCCCTCAACCTCCTCATCCTTAATATGCATACAATACCCAAAATCACGTTGACTCTTGGACTACTACAACTCGCCTAACACAATGTTCCCATCCCCCTTTGTTTAATGGTTTATGAAAGTATGTTTGCCATCTTTGTCTAATAAGTGCCTCTTCCATCCAGGGTTATTAAAAGCGAGCGCTTCTCGCTTAAAGCGCGGAAGCGAGGCGAGGCGAGGCGCAAGGTCTATGCTTTTCTGCCCTAAAGGGAGGCACTTGGAAAAAAACACACACTTCAGGCAAAAAAGCGAGAAGCGAGGCGAGGAAAAAAAGCGAGAAAAGCTCGGTTAAGCGAGGTCCAGCGGTTGCCTACGGGTTTTTTTTAAAAAAATTTGCAAATACACTCATACGCACCTTTCTTCCAAATCCATCTGCTTCTCCAAGATGTTTTGGTGAATTCTCCAAGATGTAGTGTGTTTCTTGAATCTTATGACGCTAGTGACTCTTCAACTGATTCCAATAAAATGTTCAATTTGTTTGAGAAGACTATATTGAAAGTTAGGAAGGAAAATGTTGTACAAGTCGTTATCGATAACGCAAGTGAGAATAAAAAAGCGTGTGACATGTTAAGAGTAAAGCAAGTCAAACCTATCGTGTAAGCAGACCTCGACCTCGAGCAAGAGCGACCTCGAGGTAAATAAACAAGAACAACAAGGACAATAAAACAATAAAAAGATGATTCAGATGAGCAGTAGGCAAGAAAGTGAAAATGTATATTCTCTTCTCAATGATTGATGATCCTTATAAATGATTGAGGTCCCCTTTATATAGTAGGGGGATCCTTAATAAGGTACAATTCTAATTGTAGTAGGGAATCTTATTATACAGCTGTCTAACCGCCTACTACAAATCCATTCTGGAATTTACGCCGTGATCCTAGGGCCACTGCGGGAATCTTGCTCTTTCTGTTATGGGACCATAGCGATATTATCTCGATGTCGGTCATACTTGGCCTCGGTGTTCATCGAGCACTTCAATCTTTGAAGCTCGTACTTTGCTATCGGGCTCGCACCTGGTCTATTTCGATCTCGCTCTTGAAGTGACCCTCGAGCCCACGAAATCGGGTAGCCCCGATTTCTACCGTATACATCCTTTTAAAAGCTTGGCAAAAAATCCAGCTAGCGTTTGGACTTAAATTTAATTGAAACTTGAAAAGGAAGGTTTTTGAAGTTGTGTTGCAAAATAATTTTTGGAAGTTGAAGTTGTGTTTGGACGTGTATTTTAATTAAACAAATGTTGAAGATTGGGATAAGAAATGTCACACAGAAACTAGCCTAACCAGTTTTTGGAACTTGATTTTTTTTAAAAACCATATCAAGTTTCATGAACAACCAATATTTTTAATATTTCTTTTTGAAATAAAATAGCCAAAATTTATGTCCAAATGGGAGCCTAAACTTTGAAAAAAGCACATTTGCTCAAAAATAACTTGGCCAAACATGCTATAGATGGGATTAAAAAAGGGAAAGGAAAACTTATGGCATAACTTATATTCTAGTATGTATCATTATTTATATATTTCCCGTTTATATCACTTGTCTTTAAATAAGGACCTTTTAACTTCTTCTTTTTTTGGTTAAAAGGGATATTATATTATAAGTCTAGATAACAAAAGATAATACAGTAGAGTCATTGCTAGGGTATTGTAGTACCTCCATACTAGTAATGTTATGCACGATTATGTCTATATTACAACCCACAAAAGTTCTAACCAATTCAGTTCCTAGGATGTCTGCCCAAAATATATCATTGACAAACATCGAAGGAACTGATAATATCTTAGACTTGTTCAAAGACTTCTTTTGCTGCCTCCTTGGCCAATACATCAGCTACTCTGTTCTGCTCATGATAGGTGTGCTTCACTACCACCCTGTCCATCCTGTGAATTAGTGACCTGCATTCACAAATTAAGGGATCATAAATAAGGATTCCTTGCGTTAGCATATTGATAATTTCATAGGAGTCAGTATTTATCTCTAGGGGAGCCAAGTTATTTTGCTTCGTAAGTTGTAGACCCCTTAGGAGTGCCTGTAATTCTGCCCTAGTATTTGTTGTGTGAGAGATATTATCCCCGTACCCCATTATCCAGTCACCATTGTGATTCCTAAATACTCATCTTGATCCTCCTATCACTGGATTCTCCTTTGCTGCTCCATCCGTGTTTAGCTTGTAGAAACCTCTATTTGGGGGCTCCCATTTTATTACAATTTGATGAGTTATTTTGCTAGAGCCATTTGTTGTAAGCACAAGGTATTCAGTAGCTTTGGAAATTGTGTTTGTGGAGTTGATGTGCTCCTTCTTGTTATTGAATAAATTGATGTTTCTAGTTAGACAGATGTGCTAGAAGAAGAAGGGAATGAGGTTATCCCATAGGATATAGCTGTTAAAAGGGACATTTCTGATTGAGTTCCATGTTGATGGCCATTGAATGTTGGAGTCTGTTGTGAAATGTCTCTTGTAGATTTTGACAGTATTTCATTCCATAAGTGGACAGCATTATGGCACTCAAAGAAGATATGGTCAATAGTTTCCTGGTCATTGTTACAATAAGGACATTGGGGGTCACAGTTGATCCCAATTATATGGAGGTAGCTCCTAGTTGGGAGTCTCTTATGGGTGAGGAGCCAAATGAAATTCTTGATTTTGTTGGGAGCTTGCAGTTTCTAGACCTATTTGAAGGAGCCTT